CCCTTTTACTTATAAATTTCCAATAATTATCCTTCAAATTATCTTTTTGGTAATTTAGCCATCTAAATTCTATATTTATGCCAAAATATTGCATAAATATTTTAGTGCATTTTTTATAATTGCATTTACATTTTTAAAGCCAACTTGCATATATTTGCAATACTAGCCTTATTAATGCATAATTACGTTATTAACGCGTAAAATGGTCTTTTGTATTTTTAAAATATTAAACAACTATTTTTAATCATTTTCAGTACATGAAATATTTTTTAGAAATTATTTTATTATTTTTTATAAATTGTATAGTATTGAAAATGGCTATTTAAAACTTAGCCTATTTATTTTCAATTTCAGCCTAAATTCAACCCAACCCAGCCCAATTTCTAATTAAATTACCCGACCCAGGCCCCAAACACATTTACCTGACCCAATACCGGCCAAATCCTGGCCGTTGACCAGATTCTTCCTTTCCTAATTAAACCAACCAATACCCCCCAAACTTAATTCATTCTACAACCCACCCTGCCGCCCTAAAATCCTCTCTGCTCTCAAAACACTCTCAACCTAAACCCTAATCTTCAAACGTCGTCCTCCCATCTCCGGCCATCTCCGGTGACCTCTCAGCATCTCTTAGGCCTCCAATGGCTTCTCTCATGTCGTTCTTGCCTTCTCTAAGGCCCTCAAGGGACCAGGGCCATGCCGACTTGCACCTAGGTTTCATCTCCTTCCTGTTCCTGGCCATTCCAGTGTGATTTCAAGCGAAATCGTTCTATATTTGCTGCGATCTATGGGTTTCTAGACGTGTTTCTTCACCTCTGTATGGTTCTCTTCGAAACCCTAATCTTTTTTCTATACCTCCTAGATTTGTAGAGATCTAGTACGTTTTGAGTTTTTTTCTTGAGTGTTTTACAATAGCCTTGAGATTCTTTACAAGAATCGTTTGATTTCAAATGATTTCTTCACCTTTTCTAAAACTAGGGTTTTCGGAATTTCTTTTAAAACTTTGTTCAAATGATTCTTTGTGTTTAAACTTCTATTTCTCACATGTTTTGATTGATTCTATGAGTCTACTACAACCTCAACTCGCCTATGCTGAAAGCCCTAATTAGTTTAGGGTTCTTCGTTTGGTTTTTGAGTATTAGCATGACTGACCGGTTCTTGTTTTGAGTTTTTGTGATTTCTTGCGACTGTCTTGCCTTGATATGCTTCTACTGAGTTTCTTAGTCTAAACTTTCACTGATTCTATGTGCTTGTGTTCATCTTGACTGATCACATCAAGACCTGCATCTTTCTCATTGAATCAGTATTGTTTAACTTTTATTTTGCTAGAGTTATGTGTCGATTCCTTACTGTCCATGTTTTCCCTTATTTATATGCTAAAAGTGCTGACTCTTTTCATGACCTTCTCATTGATTAAGCTATGTAATATTCTGAATTCCTTATTTCTTGGGTTGATTTGAACACTTTCCCTTAAACCTTCGATTCTTACCTTTCTACTCAATTTGATTGATCTGCTTGCCTTAATTAACTTTACCTTACCTTGTCTGCATTGTTACTGGATTCTTACTGATTATTTCCTTAACTAGAATTTTCTGAACCTATCCCTAATTACCTGTTCTATACTTGCACTGTTTGAAGGCTTTCCTTATTTGTTATACTCCAGCTATGTATGATTTCTTTCCTTATTTGTCACCTGATCTTTACCGTTTGAATTGATTCCCTTAATTAAGGGAGGACTCGAACTGATTTTACTCTGAGTTCTATAATTACTGAATAATTTAATTCTTACCTTATTTACCTAGCTTTCATACTAATATATATATTGCTCTCTTCTACAGTCTAAGGACATGAGTTGACATCTCCTATACAATCAAAAAGCTCTTCTGCTTGCTTTGTTACATACTATTGTTACAAAATTAGCTGGCTGTAAGCCAAGGCTAATTATTGCACTCTACTTTTCGTGTACTCTCTTTACTGGTATGTCCTGATTTTAAAGTCAAGCTCTCAAACCAATGTGTTTCATACTGCTTCAGTTCATCATATTCCTAATCTGTTTCTATCTATTGTTTTGTCGTTCAACATGTAATCGACCGATTACTTCACCTAGTTATGTCTTATTACTATTAGGACCAGCATGTCTTATGAACTTGTAGTCTGTTTAAATTTAACTCGACCCTATTTTTGAATGTTGGTTTACTTGCTATTTAGTCTCTAGTATGATCCTTTCTTTGCAAAGCAATGTTGTTACCCTAAGTTGTTTGGTTCTATGTTGGTTCTGAAATTCTTACTGTGTTGTATCATTAGCTATCCCTAATCCCATGAACCCCCTAAAGCACCTCTGATTCTATAACTATGTTCTAATTGTCACCCGTGGATCCATGTATTACTGTTTGCACTATTAGCTACGCCCTTAATTGCAAAGACTTCTATTTATTTGTATTGTATGTTCCCACCCCCAATTACCTCTGTGTGAAGGTTTGTTATTTGCTTAACCCGTTTTGGCTCTATGTTTGATCTGTTGTTTGTACAACTCTTGCCAAAAATTGTTTTACTGAGCAATTCTCCTATTTATAAAACTACTTCAACTGAGTCTTTTCAAATACTGCTTTCCTATTTAAACCTTTTCAAAACTATGTCAATCACTCTCACTCTACTCTTAGGACCTTAAGTTCTGCCCCTCCAGTGTATGACTGCCTTGGGATCCCAATGAGATCCCTCTGAACTCTGATGCACTGGAGCGGGCTCTTCCACACTGCACTTACTCAGTTCTGGTTATAAAGTCCAGGTATGAGCACTGCCCGGGATCCTTGAGATCCTTAGGGAACTCTGATGCACCTAGACAATGATATTGTCTATGGAATTTGGCATTTGAGGCTATTGGAGGCTTGGGAAGTCATTAGGGCCTGATTCAGGCTCGCCATAGTTAACTTCTTCTTTTCTTTATTGTTTATGTAATTTATTCATCTGGTCTGTAATAATTATTTGTAAACGACATTGGGGTGATTAGTGAAAAGGGGTGGGTAGTTACATATCTGTGGGGTAACTCGGGTAGATACCATGCCTATAGGATCGTGTTGATGTACTTGCTATACCATGCTAGAAACCATGCCTATAGGATTTAAAGGGATTCAACATTAGAAATCATGTCTATAGGGTTAAAATCAACTTTCATAAGTAGATACCATGCCTATAGAGAATAAAGGGATTGAGTTCAATTTCTGCTACTGCATGTATCTGCATTTGTCTCACTAGAAATCATGCCTATAGGTTCTGACATCAGCTCTTAACAATTAGATACCATGCTTATAGGAATTAAAATCAGAAATTCTGTTTATAGAACTTAAAATCAACTTAGTTTAAACAAGTCGGTCTAATTCATGTTAGTTCACTTGAAATTGGCCTAAACAATTGTCTATTTCTTCAAATGAATTTCTTTTTTTTCAAAACTGCCTTAATTTACTATCACTAGACAGCATGCCTATAGGAACTCAAGAATCCGTTTTAAAAATTGTTCATTGTTATACTACATCAACGTAGTTATCATGCTCTTAGGACGTCACTGTTCTGCGTTTAGGCAAGCCTATAGGGCGATTTTAAATTCTGCAACTCTGAAACTATATTTTTGCTACTTAAAGTTGTCTGGATTTAACAGGTTTAATCAGTGGGCAAGTTAAATAGGATCTTTCACATATTTTGTCCTAATTCAACACTATATAACCCCTACTCACCTAGATATCATGTTCTGGGATTTTTTCTCTTAAGTATTTGAATGTTGCTTGAAGACGTGCACTTATTTGTTATGGTTGAGGAGGTAACTGTGAGCCTATAACTTGTTTCTTTAAATGTAGTCCTAACTGTTCTTGATTGTCGCCTAGATTTTTATCCTTTAAAACCTTAGGAAAGTCTAGAGCTGTCCAAAGAATATAGACCCTAAAATACCCCCGGGGCCACGAGGAAGGGACGGGTAGTGCACACATAGGACATTGTCAAGGTTACTAGAACGCTTTAGGCTATGACCAAGGGGAGGGACTTGGGTAGAACAGGATATGATGACTACGCGTTAATGTCACGTGTAGCCCCTCATTAACGAGTGTTTATCGGGCATTGCGTGGGGGTGATCCTGTAGGCTAACCAACCTAGGACCCCTCCTTCCCAAATTCCCTTTGTCTAAAACTTTACCTTTTTTTATGTACACAACTTGTCCAAATTCTTTATGTTATTATTTGAGTCATACAATGTCCAACATGCTTTATTTGCAATTATGTGTTTCAACTACTTATTTGTTAAAGAACTAATTTACAAGTATAAGTTCGGCTGGGATCCACCGTTGTGGACCGAGAGGCATGCCTAACACCTTCCCCTCAAGGTTATTTTGAGCCCTTACCCTAAATCTTTGGTAATGCATACTAGTCTAAGAGTTAATCACTCTAGGTGCCCTAACGCACCATAATCCGTTAGGTGGCGACTCTTCATATTCAAATACCCAAATCCCAAAAGGAAATGAGTTATTACCCCCATGAACATCGAAACCCGGACTTTCTCCGCGGAGGAAAAAAGGGGGCACGACAAGGAAAAGTGGACAACACTCTATTTCTAAGGACAAAGGGAAGAATATTCTGATTGTGAAAGTGTGTGGATGACATTATCTTTGGGGATACTAATGAAGAAATATGCAAAGAAATTGCTGAGATTATGGAAATGAGTTTGACCTAAGCATAATGGGTGAGTTGAACTTCTTTCTGGGGATGCAAATCAAGCAAACACCTACTGGAACCATGATACATTAGCAGAAGTACATCAAAGAACTACTAAAGAAGTTCAACATGGACTCCTATAAGTTCGTTGACACTCTCATTGCCACTGCAACAAAACTAGACCTTTATGAAGAAGGGAAAAGTGTTGAACAGAAACTATATAGAGGAATGATTGGGTCACTACTGTAACTCACAGCAAACAGGCCTGATATTGTGTTCAGTATGGGAATGTGTGCAAGATTTTAGGCAAATTCCAAGGAATCTCACCTGAAGGCTGTCAAACAGATACTAAGATATCTCAAGGGGACTCTTGACCTCTGCATATGGTATCCCAGTGGATATAGCTTTGATCTAGTTGGTTATGTTGATGTTGGTGCAGGTTTTTATGTTGACAGGAAAAGCACTTCAGGAACAACTAATTTCCTGTGTTCATGTCTAGTGTCGTGGGGAACAAAGAAGCAAAACTCAGTGGCCTTATCTATAGCTGATGCTAAATATGTGGCAACATCATCCTGTTGTGCTCAATTGCAATAGATAAGGCAATAGCTAAGGGACTATGGTATTTTTGTTGACTGTGTTTCCATTTACTGTGATAACACCAGTGCCATAAACATAGCAAAAAAATCCATGTCAGCACAAGAGAACCAAGCACATTGACATTAGACACCACTTTCTTAGAGACAATGTTGAAAAGGGGAATATCTCAATTAACTTTTGTAAAACTGAAGATCAAATTACTGATATTTTTACTAAAGCTCTGAGTAGGGATAACTTTGAAAGGAATAGAATAGAACTAGGTCTAATCAATTCTTTCAACTAAGTTGAACCCCAGTGATTGGTTAGAAAAGGTAAAATTAGATGTAGACAACTAAGTACAATGTGTTTGATTCACCTTCGTGGTTGTATTAAGCACACACACTTGCTTGAAAATCTGGTTGATCACTATGTTGCATGATACTAATGTGAAATGTTGAAGCTTTATTGCAGAAACAAGTAGCTACTAAGGAGTTGGTTCTTCGACTCAGGTATGTGTTATATTCTCTTAATTCATTAGGACTTAATATCCTAAAATTATTGCTATTCTCAGACTATTAATTCCATTGGCAGCACTTCTAGTTGCCTTCTAGTTAAAGAGTAAAGGGGGTCTTAGTGCAATTAGAGATTAATTACTCCTGAAATCCTAACAGTCAAAGTAATCATTATAAGTGTCCCGTTAGAACTCGAATTCGGTCGCCTTCTCTCTTTCGGTCAAATCAAAAGTAACGTCTTTAAAAGGCAATTATGATCAGCTTCTCAAACCTCACCGTTTCTCTTAAACCCTAAGCAAGAATCAAGAGCAAATATCAAGAACCAATTCTCTCCTTCCCTTCATCGAGTCTCTCTCTGATCACCATGCCTAAATCCAGCCAAACCCCTTCTAATGCCAAATTTTCATCCAAGGCTAAAGCAAAATCCAAAAACATCAAGCCCAAATTAATGAAAAGTGTTAAGCCATCAAATGAACCCACACCAACGCCCCTTCTCCTTCGATATCCTCCATTGTACCTACATCCCTTGTTTCTGATGTTCTCACCATCCCCACCTTCATTACACCCCCACTTCCAAAACCAACCACCCATGCATCTGAGCGTACTGTGAAAAATACCTCAAATTCAATCAATGTCAAGGCTACTCCAAGAAAATCTGTCAAGAAAGTGCCTGATGCTACTACTCAAGTAGACACAGTGGTCAAGGAAGCTGTGGTTCAGGGGGAATCAGTGCCAGTCATTGCTAATCAGGTAAAAAATCCTCCCTCAAAATTAGATGTTTTGGTATCCGATATAACTATTACACCCTTAGACACTCTCCCACCCACGAGTGAGATACCACAAGTGGAGAAATTCACTATAGAAAAGAGTGCAGACAATCTGGGGAAAGAGGTAGATACTACTACTGTGGTGCCTGTGGTTGAGGGGGAAGGAAGTAAAGAACCAGTACAAAATGAGGCATCTGATGGTTTTCATTTAGCTGGAAAGATGAGGATAATGATAGGGGTAAAAAAGAAGAAGAAGCTGTGGACAATCATGAGGAGAATAATGCTGAAAACAAAGCTAATGAAGAAGAAAAGAGTGAGCATGAGGGAGAATCAAGAGATGAGAAGGAGAGTGATATGGATGATAAGATAGGTGAACAAGTAAATGATTTTGCAGAAGGAGATAATCATAGTGAAGAAGAGGACAATTTTGAGAGTGTGGGTGAGGATCAAGAAAAAATAAGTAAGAGTGAAGGAGTGGATGAAGAAAGTGAGGAAGAGAACGAGAATATGTGTGAGGATTCTGAAGGTTCTAGATATTTGGGAACACTTTCATAGCCCCTTCAGAAGAAACTGGTGAAGAAAAAGAGACTCAAGAACCTGGGCCTTTGTTAACTCCTTTCACTGGAGATGAAGTGGTTAGTAGTGATGAAGATGACTTGTCATTGTCTGAGGCAGGAAAGAAACCCAGAAAGACTCTTGTGAAAGCAACAAAGTCAATAGTACTAACAAGTAAAAGAAAGGCTATTGATGAACAAATTATTAAGGAGTCAAGAAGTGTCAAGAAGCCAAGGAAGAATGTTTCAATTGTCAAACCTATGGTTGAGCTGGATGGAGAAGATGAGTCCGAGTCTGATTTGCCAACTAAGTCCTCCACATAAAAGAGAAAGGTTGCCAAGGTTACAAAAACTGCTACCCCTTCTTCAAGGGCCAGTAGAGGAAAGACAAGAAAGAATGTACCTGCTGCAATTGATAGACTCAGAGTTCAAGAACAGAAAAGTGCTTAATGGGAAGATTCTTGCAAACACTGATGAGAAGGGGATGGTTCAACTGGTGGAAAAACTTGAGCTTTAGGGATGGAAGCACATGTTTGTCAAAGCTTTCCCTCTTGTATGTATTCCTGCTGTGGTGGAGTTCTATGCAAACTTCAAATTTGATGGGAAGGTAGTCAAAAGTAATGTAGGGGGTTTGAAATGGAGTTTGATGCTGAGGAGTTGGGGCTGCTTCTGAATATTTCTTCTTTTCGATTTGAAAATTACATAAAGAAAAAATGGCCAGCCATAGACAATGATGTTGACACTGCATTGTGGTCACAAGAAAGTTTTCTCAAAAGTTTGAACTGGATGCTCTCCAGAAGGTGTACAAGACTGATATGACTCCCTTCCATAAACTGTTGTTTCATTTTGTCAATTCCTGATGTTGATACCCAATTTTTTTCTATATTTATAAATACTTTCAAAAATAGCATATATATGCATATACAAGCCTGCACAAGGTTTTTATAATTTTTTCCACAATTTCAAAGATTTAAAAATAGATTTATCTCCTTCCCTTTTATTCATAAAATTCTCCATAATTATCCCTCAAATTATTGTTATGATGATTTGGTCAGTTAATTTCTATATTTATGCCAAAATATGATTAAAATATTTTTTGTGCATTTTTATAGTTGCATTTTGTATTTTTAAAGCTAAATTACATATAATTACAATATTAGCCCCATTAATGTATAATTATATTTATATGCATAAAATTGGTCTCCTATATTTTTAAAATGTTAAATATATATTTTAAATCATTTTAGTACACAAAATTATTTTCCAGAAATTAGTTATTATTTATCATAAATTATATGGGAAAATTACCTAGTTAAAATATAGCCGGATTTACATTTCAATTGTAGCCTAAATTAGACCCAACCCCAGCCCAATTTCATATTAAACTACCCGACCCAAACCCTGAACCCGCCTACCCGACCCAGCACCAATTAAATCCTGGCCGTTGATCTCTCAGATCAACGGCCCGTATTAATCCTTTCCTTTTTTAATTCCAATGACCCCCTAACCCTATCTCATTTCCAAATTCCGTCGCCTCTGTATTCTCTCATCTCTCAACCACTCAACCTAACCCTAGCTCTTCTCAACCGCCGACCTTCTTCTCCGGTCTTCTCCGGTGATCTCCCTTCAACTCCTAAGCCTCCAATGGTTCCTCTATTGCCATACTCACCTTCTCTGAGGTCTTCAAGGGCCCTGGGCCACGCCGACTTGCATTGAGGGTTTGCTATTGTCTGTTCTTGGTTACTTCAGTGTGATTTCAAGCGAAATGACGCTGTATTTGGCACGATCCTTGTGATTTTAGACAGGTTCTTTAATCTCTACTTGGGTTTCTTCTGAAAACCCTAAATTTTGCTTACATCTCCTAGATCTGTACAATTTTTTAAGCGATTTGAGTCTGTTTCTTTGATGTTTTACACTATCCTTGTAACTCTTTACAAGAATCATCGATTTCAAAGTGTTTTCACCCTCTTCTAAAATTAAGGTTTTCGGAACTTCTTCTAAAACTTTGTTTAAACCAATTCTTCATGTTTAAACTTCTACCGCTTGCATATTTCGACTGATTCTATAATTTTACTACCTTTTCAACTCGCCTATGTAGAAAGCCCTAAATTTCTAAGATTTCTTTGTTTGGTTCTGTGTGTTAGCATGACTACTCGATTCTTGTTTAAGTTTCTGCGATTATCTTGCCTCGAACATGTTCTACTGAGTCTTCTTATGCCCAACTTATATCGCCTCTTTATGTTTGTGTTCATCTTGACTGGTCAATACTTGCCTCTTTGCATGATGTGTTTGGTTACTCCCATTCCACTCCTTTTATATGCTAAAACTCTCTCTTTGATTGACTCTGAACTCCTTGTTTCTTGGCCTGATTTGAAAACTTCCCTGTAAACTCTCCATTCCCCTGTTAACTTGTTTACCTGTTACTCCCCTTAAATCAATGATTTCAAATACCAGATTCCCTGATTTACTATGTGCTGATTGTCGATTATTTCCATACTCTGCAACTTTATTTTGATTTATTACCTTATTTGGTGAACCGAGTACTTTACTGATTCTTCATTAGTTGTTTCCTTAATTAAACCCCTATGTACTTACCCCCTAATTGTCTATTTTATACCTTATACTCTACTTGATTTCTTTCCTTAATCATTTCTGCCTATTACCGTTGGTTGATTACCCTCTTAATTAAAGGGGTACTTACATTGATTTGATTCTGATTATTATTTGGTTCCATAATTACTATGCTACTATGATTCTTGCCCTATTTTACCTAATTTTCGAACTACTATATATACATACTCTCTCATTAACATAGACACACGAACACTCTTGGTTAAAAAAGCTCTCTCTCTCTCTCTCTCTCACACACACATAAACTTTCTGCTCTCTTTTGTGCTTGCCACTATTCTAAGTTAGCCGGCTGCAAGCCAAGGCTAACCATTGTGTTCTCCTGCTCTTTCACTTTTCTTACTGTCTTCTTTACTGGTATGTTCTAGTTTCAATTCAAGTTCCAACAACAATATGGTTCTTTTATTGCTTCAGTTCATCCTGTTTCTAGTTTGCTTCTATTTATGGTTTTGTTGTGAAACTTGTAGTTGATGTTTATGTTATTAGCATGTTGTGTACTCCCCTTCCTTAAGATCAGTATATTACCACCTCTATGTTGTTTTTGAACATGTCTGTACCAATTATCTCTACCTGTTATGTCTTTACCACCATGTGCTCCATGTATCCCCAAATCCTTATCACCCATGTATGTAAGTCTGTTCATCATGTCTGGTTCTGTAACTGTGGCTGGTCAGCTGTTTCTGAGCATATCCATACCAACTCCTAGACTTTTGCTTGACTATGTGTTTACAATCAGGTGTTCTATGTATCCCCAAATCCCTTGACCCCTGTTTGTGACTACTGAACTTGCTTTGGTTCTGTCACTCCTGGTTGTGTATGAACCTATCTTAAAGGTGTTGTGTTTGGACTTTTGTTCACTACTCCAATCTCTTTTCAAACTGTCCCTGTTGTTTTACTGAATTATTTTCAAACAAACTTCCTTTTAATACAGTTTTCCATTAAAATCTTTCAACTTGTGTCAAGCACTTTCACTCTACTCCTAAGTCAATAAGTTCGGCCCCCTCCAGTATGTGTACTGCCTTGGGATCCTCTTGAGAGCCCTCTGAACTCTGGCATACTGAGGTTGGCCCTTCCACACTGCACTTATTCATTTTGGTTACCAAGTCTAGGTGTAAGCACTGCCCGGGATCCTTGAGATCCTTAGGGAACTTTGATGCACCTAGACTATGACATTGTCTATGGAATTGAGGAATTTGAGGCTATTGGAGGCTTTGGAAATCTGGGCCTAACTGAAGGCTCCCTATAGAATAGCTTCTTATTTTCTTATTTACTTATGTAATTCATTCATATGGTCTGTAATAACTTGTAAACAAATATTGGGGTAATTAGTGAAAAGGGGTGAGTAGTTATATGTTTATGGGGTAATACGGGTAGAAATCATGCTTATAGGACTTTACATTTTAATACGATTGCCTTACCAAGTAGAAATCATGCTTATAGGGCTTTACATCTTGTCATGTTTATCTCACCATGCTAGAAGTCATGCTTATAGGTTTCAAGTAATTCCGTAATAGAAATCATGTCCGCAAGTCTTAAAATCAGCTTCACAAATAGATGCCATGCCTATAGGATTTAATCCAGATTCTGTTATAACAAGTGCTTATGTATGTTTCCATGCTTGCAAGTCTTTAAAATCAGTATTAAACTTAGATATCATGCCTATAGGGAACAATATCAAATCCTGCCTATGGATCTCGCCTAGGTTTAGTTTAAATAACTCAATCCGGTTAACGTTTAGTTCACTTCTGAATTGGTTTAATTAAGTGGTTTATATTTCCCTGAAACGAGTTCTTTTAAAAACTGCCTTAATCTATTATTAGACAGCATGCCCATAGGATTTAAAAGTCTGTTTTAAAATCTGCCCTATTTTACTATAAAATATAGTCATTAGTATTCCGCGTATAGGCAAGCCTGTAGGGCTTTTCAAAACTTGCAATCCTGAAACTGTTTTCTATGACTTAATGTTTTTCTGATCCTAACAGGCTTTTAAAAAACCAATAGGCGACTGCTAGGGTCATTACTCCTGAGTTTATAAAATAAATTGCTTGTCTTCTGCATATTCACCTAGACATCCTGCCTCAGGATAGTGTTTAATAAAAAGCCCTTAATTGTGCTTGAGTCGTGCTGTTTATGTGCCTTATTTGAGGAGGAAACTTTGAGCCTCTAATTGCTCCTTTTTATCTTATGTGCTAAAAGTCCTAATTGTTTTGCCTGTCGCCTTAGAATTTTCACCTTTAAAACCTTAGGGTTCTGTCTAGAACCACCTATAGGTAGAGGTCCTAAATCCCTCCAGGACCATTAAAAAGGGATGGGTAACAGCACGCAATAGGGATCGCTAACCAAACACTCGCTTGCATGACCACTAAGGGGATGGGAAGGGTAGTGTGACGACCCGACCAGTCGTCTCATGAGTTACCGCTCTGCTTCCCCCATTTCTGCTTCTTTATGCTTCGTTATCCGTGTTTTATGTGGTCGATTTGATTGGTTTGTGGTTGGAGTGTTGGTAAGGAAATGAGACACTTAGTCTCTTTTAAGAAGGCTTAAGTTGGAAAAGTCAACTGGATGTTGACATATGTGTTAGAGGGCTCGGATGTGAGTTCCGATGGTTCGGTTAGCTTTGGGTGGTGATTTGTGACTTAGGAGTGTGATCGGAAGTGGTTTTGGAGGCCCGGTGTAGAATTAGGGTTGAATTGGCA